CCAAAATATGGAACCAACCTAAGTGCCCATTAACAGATGAATGAAGAAACTGTGGTATATACAAACAATGGAATATTTAATTCAACCATAAAAAAGAATGGAATCCTGTCATGTGCAGCAATATGGATGAAACCACAAAGGCTAAGTGAAAAAAGCCAAGCAGAGAATGACAAATGTCACATGTTCTCACTCTTACATGAGAGCTAAAAACGTAGATCTCAAAAATAGAGAATAAACTGGTAATTACCAGAGGCCAGGAAGGGGAGTGGGGGGATGAAGGGGAAGAAAATAATATAAATATATAAATGTATATTCACTGAACTTTACACTAAAAATGGTAAAGATGGTAAATCACGTAGGTATATTTTACCTCAATTAAAAATATTTTTAAAAAAGAAGTACTAGGGTAATCAAGTTCGAGACCAACCTGGCCAAGGTGGTGAAACCCCGTCTCTACTAAAAATAAAAAAATTAGCCGGGTGTGGTGGTAATCCCAGCTACTCAGGAAGCTGAGGCAGGATAATTGCTTGAACCCAGGAGGCGGAGGTTGCAGTGAAACGAGATTGTGCCATTGCACTCAAGCCTGGGCGACAAGAGCGAAACTCCGTCTTAGGGAAAAAAAAAAAGAAGTACTAATGCATGCAGCAACATGGATGAACCTTGAAAATATTAAACTTTGTAAAAAAAATAAATAAAAAATAAAAAAAGCCAGACACAAAAAGCACATATGATTTCATTTATACAAAATGTCTAGATAAGGCAAATCCATAGAAACAGAAAGTAGACTAATTGCTATCGAAGGCTGATGGTGAAGGAGTTGGGGGAAAATGGGGAAGGAGTGACTGCTAAAAGGCATGGATTATTTTGGGGGAGTTTTCAAAATATTGCATAATTGACTGTGATGATTACAAAACTCTGAGAGTATACTAAAAACCTAAAAGTATAAGTGAATTTTACACTTTATGTCTTCAATAAAGCTGTTATCAAATAAAAAGCAGCGCCAGTGTTCCACGAGCAGATCCTTGAAACACACAGAAATAAAGTGTAAACTGCCAGTATAACCACATCCTCCTTTTTGGTTTACTTCCTCCTTTTACTTGTTCAATTACTAGACCAAAAATCAAATTCCAAATAAATCATTTCATTCTACCTTAGTCTTTTCTTCCAAAAAGTAATGAGGATTCTCTGTCATTTCCCTGCTCATAAACCTAATACAAACTTCAGCAGTAGCAGATCATAATAGCATTTGAACAAGTTAGCTTCTCTGTGATACGGGAGAACAAGTTACCCTTTGGATGACGACAATTTTAATTTTAATTTTAATCTGGAGATTTTCTGGCCCTAGCTGCCAGTTCTCCACTAGCACCGAGGAAGTATAAATGAACACACTGACATGCACAGATCTAAGATGTTGCTTTTAACAATTTGTGAAAAACTGTGAAAGTCACAACCTATAGTCATTTACAAGGGGCAGTGAATCTAACCGTTAGAGGTCTGCAAGGACAGAGCAACAATTTGACCCACTCTATCCATCTAAGCTGGTATGCAAGGCACCAAGGTAGCAAGCAATTCTAACCAACCACCCAGCACCTTTAACTCAGCAGTAGTATGAAAACATTTACGAATCAATGGATCTGTGAAGGCCTCAGGATAGAGCCCTTGCAAATGTCATGGGTCAGTTATGTTATCCAACATGAAAGTTAAGGCCAAGAAAAATACATTCCACTACTTACAGAAAATACTCTAAGCACAGACCAAATTTCACTCAAATGATGTGCAATTTTCTATGCCTATGGCCCTACAGACTGTATGATTTTTATGAGCAGAAATTTTTTCTTAGCTATAAATTTGTTTAAAATATTTACCCATTAAACTGTAACGTTTTTAAAAAGAATGACATATTTAACCCAACTTCAAAAATAAAACTATCTTACTGCATTTTTACTTCAAAGACAACAATAAAGTGAGAAAAAAACTGAAATATGTAGAGGCAAATATCTCCTATATGAAATAATTCAATCTATTAAATCATTTGTGCATGTTCTTTAAAATAATATGTTTTTTCAAAACCTAAAAAAAAAAAATTAACCAATACTATATTAGAATAACTTTCTCTAAAAAATGCCTTACATAAACTTTATCTACACTGAATGCTGTGATTTGGGGTGACTTGATATTCTCAACTTCTTTAACAGATTTGCACAACGCTTAAACACATTCAGGTCCTTTAACATGATTCCAAAAGAAGCTTAACTAGATATCACATAAGAGATGTACCAACTTTCAGAGGTTCCATCTAACCTGACATACACACAGTATTGGGTTGTATCCAGTCTGTTAAGGTTCCCGAAAATAGGATAAACCACACTCTAAATGGAATGTGACACCCATCCACCCCTACTCAGACAACCAATAGAAAAAATCATTCTCCACTCTCTGACTAAACAGGTAAAACCCACAGATGTTCCCTCACATATAATCTTTACATGTGATAGCAGACTAACAACTACCCAGGGAACCAAAAGGCAGGGTTTTGAGAGGCTTGTGTGATAGGAGAGGTAATCCACAAAGGGAGTAGAGTAAGGGGATGCTTTCTTCTGAAATGAGATATGACTTAACTGATTAAGTAAAGGACTCTGACTTCTGTTAGGCAGGTAACTTTAATTTGCACTATTTTGATAAATTAATCCATTACAGTCATTAGGCCAATGCAGGCAGTGCAGAACTTGTAAAAATCAACCACAAAAGCACTGTTAACTTTAACCAAAAATAAGCCAAACTAACACTATGATCTAACCTCTTTCTGAAGATGGTAACCACATTTTCATTGAAACACAGATGGGCAGATTAACTACAAACCACAATCAAATATTTGACACCAAACAATCCAAAGACCACAGTGATGCACTTAATAGGCACACCAAATATCCATATTAAGTAACACAAGCACACAGAAAATGTAAAACTAGTTAATCAACACTTATCAATCAGCTACAGCACAGAGGATCCTTTGCTTGCCAAAGGGAGTGCCACACGAAGGTAAATAACCTTTCTCTCTGCCTGACCCAGTCCAAGCAACTGTTTTAGAATCAATAAAAGGAACCAAAGCCACTGTACTGCAGACCTAGCTTCTAAAGCAAACTTATCAGCTATCCAATCCTCAGCCCACAAGTGAGAATTTCCCTGCAAATTCCCAAGTCAGAAAATTAACTAAAGTAGGTATCTTTAGTTACTTCTAATTTTTAAAAATTAAAACCTGTAATAAACATTTTGCTCTATTTATGAAGAGCTTACATATGAACTCGTAATGGTATCATTAACTAAGGCTCAAAGACAAAGTAAACCTCCAAATTTCAGATGACACTATAGTTAAACGTTTTTTATCTTTAACAGAACTATGGTTCAATTATTTTAGTTTATTTAAACAATAATCTTTATATAGTTCCTTTTCTCAGTCATCTAATAGCAAAATTGCAGTCTACATCACGTGATACTGTATATGGATTTCATTTATTAAAAATGAGTCTTAAACAAACTTATTAAAACAAAGTTGCTCATTTTACCAATGATTGGGGTTGTCAAAATTTAAGCAAAGAAGTGAATAAATTAAGTTCACTTATTTATCAGTTCAATTGTTCATAAAAAAGGTTACAAAAATAATACATGTAATATATTAATAACATGGTTTATTTTTTTAAAGATTCAGACCATTAAAACAAATATCCTAAGAAACAAAGGATGTTAGGTTTAATTCAAACTAGAGTTTTTCCACAAATCAATCCACTTATAACCATTGACCACCAAAAGCTAAACAATCATCTGCCATCTGAAACAGCTTTGATGTAATACGGTCGTAAGAGTGACAAAAAGTCTCACGTTAAACAGTTTTACCTAACAAAGACATATTTGTTCTATTTCAGTGAAACATTCTTTGAATATTATTACTGTAAGTTTATAAACTGTATATGATTCATTTAAAGAACCGTATTAGATTCACCACAAAGTAAGTTCTATTAGAATTTTTCCTACACAAAATAGTTGTCAACTAGCCAACTATCAATATAGCCATATGCAAAATTTTCACTTTCATTAATTCTCACCATTGTTATATTTGTTTTTACATAAAAGTAAGATCAGTGAAGTCAGATATCATACCAAGCAATAAATCCTACCTGCATTCAATGTGGGGAAGATTTTTATTTAATCTGCCCTTCCACCTTCAATGCATAAGATTATCATTTTAAACCAGAAAAACTCCAGGTTGGCCTGGTTCCAATGCTGACCTCATCTCAAAATAGAAGTAAGTGTCTTAAAAATAATCAAACAGTGATCTTCTAACCACTGCTTCAGACCCAAGGCAGCAGCTTAAGGTAAGTGGTTATTTTTCTCCTCTTTGTCCATGTATCTATAGAACATTAACCATTTCCAGGTAAGCACTTTTCTTTCCTAAAGTAAACACTGACCAGAAAATTCGGGGTCATGATCATAAAGTGAGAGACAGTTTTACACTTAACATCACTGCCTCAAATCACCTAATCTTACCTAGTCACAACCAATGACCATAATAACGTAAACCATGAAGAAACACTATTTAATGTGTCTGCACTTTTAAAAATCAAATTCCAACAAGATAACAAAAATTACAACATAGCAAATATTTTAGCCACACTATTATTCTATCATTAAAAAACCACTTAAGGCCCTAACACCTCTTCCACTAAAAGGTAATTGTATTTGTTACCCCATAATTTCATTGTCTTATTGTTATCGCATTACACTACTTTTGGCAACTCCGTTCTACCACTACAAACATACTTGCTGAACATTCCATTTCTGCACAGAGATGACAAAAACCACTGTCTTCCACAGTCACTTAAGTTCAAACAACAATGATGTGTTTACTAATTAACCACATTACAACAACAGTTGCATATAAAACCAACAGTTCAAATGTACCTTCTGCAAAAGATACAAGTAAATAAAAAACCGTAAGTACTTACCTACAGTTGGGAGGAGGGTCCAATGTAATTTCTGCAAGTTCCTTCTGAATTCTTTAAAATAAAGACAAAGAACATTGTGTTAAAAATATCTTCACTCTTAACAATTTATTTCATTAAAACGTTATGTTTTAATAATACTTCCCTTTGGTATATTAGTTTGAAATACTAATACTGTATAAAGCATCACATCTAACAATAAAGTAGCAATTTCCGCCAGGGTTTTGAGGATGCATCTAAAGGATGACACTATCAGTACATGCAACCTGTGGAAGGAACACTATGACTTCACTGAACCACTGACAGCGCTAATTAAAATTTCTAAAGCTGGAAATTTCTGCCACACCATTCATGGGTCATTCTAACTTCTGTTTTGTATTAGAGCATTCCCATACAGGATGGAAAGCTGATATTAAGTTAAATTCAAGCATCCTGACTTGACAGAATCAAATGGTGAAGAAAAGATTCAGGATCTCATTCCAACACCTGAAACTGCCATCAAGATGCATATGGTATTCCTTCCTGGAGCCTCTAATTTGGAGCAAGTTGGGACTTTGACGTTTAACACTATTTCATCTGCTAGAACTATCCTAATGTTACATAAGCAATTAATGTCATTTCATGAGCTTCACGCCAAAAAAAAATTTTTAAGCCTGCTCTACCTATCCTCATGTGTTACATTCTACTTTTATTTTTAACTGCATCTAACATCCCATGTACGTATAAAAAGGCTGAAAGCGCACCACTGTTTTCTAAGACTATACTTAGCAATCCCTTAACTATCATTCATACCTTATTAAATGTAGGCTTTGCTAAATCAAATACCAAAATATTCTCAAAACCGTTTCTTCTCCTTTGCCTTGGTTTTTAAATATGGGGTTATTAACAGCTGGATGCCTGTTGTCTGGTAATTATTGTGACAGTATATGGATAATAACTGATTAAAGTATCTTTAAAAAACAAAAGAATCTGAGCAAAAATATTTACACTCAAGCAATTTCATTCTACTTCTTTTTCAAGACAACAAACTACTAGAATAAATGGGACCCCTCCAACAGAACTGGTATCAACTTCCCAAAGGAACTGCATGCTACTGGTACAATTTTCACTTTTCTAAACCGTGTGATTCAAGGTTGGTGAGGCATTATGAATCAGAGGACGGCTAAGAAATTCAAAGTCAAAGAAAATTGCATTGTAATTCTGCTAGGCCATTAAATTGAGTCCCTGGGCAAGAACACTGCTCACACATGCTTGCTTTCTCTCCCTGTGCCTCAGTTTTCTGTCCTGTAAAATAGAGGTTAACTAGAATAAACTCCGTGATCTCTTTCAACACACTATAACTTCCTTCTAATATGGGTTCTGTGATATATTTATATGCATACAAGTACGTATTGCCCATATTTCAATGACAATAGTCTCAAAGATTTGACACAGGAGAACACATTTTATGGATTTCATACAAAATATACAACAGACACTTCAAAACTAAATGGCTAAGTCCAGGTTAAAGATGGCAAACTAGGCACACACACTTTTACCTCTCACTCATTCAGGACCCCACTAGGTGGGAAAGGGAAATGCAGAAAATGCAAAAAAGGAATAAACAGCAAAGAGAAGGGTGGTGGTCACCAATGAGTGAGAAATTTCAATATATTTCTGCAAGACAAAACAAATGGGTGTAAATCAAACAGGCTGAGACAGGCAAGAGGGGGGCTAAAGAGTGTATACAGATAAAATAGACTACAAAAGGGGACATAGGGGGAAGTAATCAGAAATCCCAGAAGGAAAAAAAACCTGCATAAGTCACAGATAAAATATGAAGCAAACTAAAATGTAAAATAACTTTAATTAAGTATCAGACATTGGGAGTGAGGTGGGGAGAAAAAGATTTGATCTATTTTGCCTAAATGCTATCACTCATTGAGAAGCCCGGAGATCATGACACTGGACTTGTAGTTAATCTAATCCTAATATGCTATTTGGTCTGGCATTTAATGTTTACAGTTACAATAAATGTACAATTTATTGGTCTTTTACTTACAGACAAAGCATAGAAGATTGGTTGTTGGTTGCACTGTACAAAGTAAATGTTATTAACCTTGAAGATATAAAATTAAGTGTAGCTAATATAAAACAGTTAAAAGTGGATGGAGAAGATATTATCCCCAATTTACAAAGTAGAGAATAAAAAACATGTTATTTGTAGGAATAAGAAATAGAAGCTTAAATATATATTTTTAGAGTATAAAGGCAACAAATAATCTTTTTAAAAATTTTTAACTATCATTAACTGGGAGGAAGGAAAAGAAAGGAAGAATAGGTAAGCAAACTAAATCCTCATATTTCAGAGCAGGCAATCAAAAGATACTACTTCAATTAACAATTCAACGAGAAATAAGTGTATTATTTAGAGTTGTACAGAAAACCAACAGAAGGAATAAGACCAAAGACAGCTAAACAGTCTGCTTCAAGGGAATGGAACTGGGAGAATTAGGGGCAGGGGGTGGATTAAAAAAACTGTTACTTTTCATTTAAAAAAAAATCTATGTACTGTTTATTATCAGAAACATGAACTTTTAAAAATTGTTTTTAAACTAAGAGAACCAAAGGAATAGTCATTATAAAAAGCATGCTTAAGCTGTCAAAAAAAAAAAAAAAAACTATTTTTAACATAAAAAAACTTCTTTGCAATTTTCAAACAACACATCTTGCTTTATATTTATACTGCCCTTTAGATTTAAAAAAACAAAACAAAAAACTCATAAATCCTGGGCCAGGCTCAGTATTGGTGGCTATGCCTGTAATCCCTGGGCTTTGGGAGGCAGACGCAGGAGGATCACTTGAGGCCAGAAATTGGAGACCAACCTGCACAACACAGTGAGACTCCTTCTCTACAAAAAATTTGGGAAACTGTTGGTCATAGTGGTGTGTGCTTATAGTCCCAGTTACTCAGGAGGCCAAGGCAGGAGGATCACTTGAGCCCAGGAATTTGAGGCCACAGTGATCATACCACATACTCCAGCCTAGGCAAGAGTAAGACCCTGTCTCTAAGAGAAAAAAAATTGATACATCATAATTTGCTGTCATATAGTACTACACAAAAGTTGAACTCCAGATCCCTATAATTCTAAGTCTATATTATTCAATATAAAAAGCAATTTACTGATGAATTCAACAAGTCTGAGTAGTGAGTCAATAATATTATAATATATTTTGAGCCACTGTTACCTAAAATGGTTATATTTCTCTTGACAGAAAAGATTATACTAAGAATTGCTATTTAAACGGTTGTAAGATGTCCTGCTGTTTTCAATGACAGCAATTCAATTCTATCTCAAAAGTTGTGATCATGGTATGTATTAAGTTTCTCAGCCTCGACAAGTGGGGATAAGGAAGGTACCTATTTCAGGCACTGTCTCTTAGGGTGAGGAAAAATGAAAAGTATCAATAATTCACACTTACAATGTACCTTTCCCATGATGATCTTTTACCATTAAAAGTGATCCAGTAAGGCCGGGCGCGGTGGCTCAAGCCTGTAATCCCAGCACTTTGGGAGGCCGAGACGGGCGGATCACAAGGTCAGGAGATCGAGACCATCCTGGCTGACACGGTGAAACCCCGTCTCTACTAAAAAATACAAAAAACTAGCCGGGCGAGGTGGCGGGCGCCTGTAGTCCCAGCTACTCCGGAGGCTGAGGCAGGAGAATGGCGTGAACCCGGGAGGCGGAGCTTGCAGTGAGCCGAGATCCGGCCACAGCACTCCAGCCTGGGCGGCAGAGCGAGACTCAAAAAAAAAAAAAAAAAAAAAAAAAAAGTGATCCAGTAAATCTTACAGAATTCTCTAAGTATCTGTTTTATCAGTTCCCATTTAAAAGACAAGGAAAACTAAGGCTAATTATTTTATACTGGTAAGGTGAAAGATGGAGAACTATTATCTTGCTAAGTCAAACAAAAAGACTTCCCTCATCAGAACTTTTAAGACAAAATTATTTTACACAAAAATCACCTGGACAATTGCCTAAATTTCCAGTTTCCATAAGGCAGTGTCACCTCTTAGGTTAGTATCATACAGAAGTCAGCAACTGCCTATTGTTACTGAGACAAGTCACAAGCAATACACAAATTAAATTTCAATGTATATTACTCTACCTTATACCTTAACTGTTCCAGGAACGAATGATAAGAGTACAATAAGAGTACTGTGTGGGATTGTTATTTGCTTTAAAAAAAATAGCAGGGGAGGGGAATCATAACAATCATGATTCATTCAGACTTAAATGAAGAATATGGTACCAAAATTATACAGAACAGAGAGGATATGAAACTCTCATTTTAACATCAATATATTGGAAAAGGGGTTCAGAAAAATGAAGCAGTGTATATGTACTAACATGTTTAAAACACACACACACATTTCTTGGGTTAAAGAAAATTCAAAAATTTACTCAGAGCCAAGCAGAACATGAATGTGTGGATATGCAGATTTGCAAAGTAATTTCTTAGCAGGAATTTTTTAAAAACCCTTCATCTCATCTAGATAACTTTCTATATTCCCTTAAGACTACAATCCTCAGTCAACCTAAAAAACCCTCTATTCTAATCAATTGAATCACCTAGCAAAAACCTTCCAAAATGACCTCATTCTCAAGAAAGTGTCATGCAACTAATAATTAAAATTTTTTAAATGTCAAAGCAATCTTTAGAAAACACATTGCCATCGCAAATAAGAAGTCTAGAGTTTCATTCTGGATGGTGGTATATATACATACATATGATTCTAAAAGATCACTGATTTTAAGACACACCATCAAGAATTGTGCACATAAATTTTAAGATGTGTCCCAATTTCAGAAACATTAAAAAGTTTTAAAAAGTGCATTTAGAATGAATAAAATACAGTAATTACAAAAGATTATCTATAAAAGTACTATTTCATTCTCATGTGGAAAACAAACTTACAAGAGCCCATAAGATAAAAGTTCAAACTGGAATACAGTGGAATCAATTTTTCAACCTAACAAAAATTTAGAGTCTGAAACCAAAAACTACACCTCGAACAGTATCATATTGAGTGTCCAAAAATAAAATCACCATGTCTACTCTGAACAAAGTTAATTTAGAATAAATATGATTTAAAATTCACATTTACAGATGTATCAACCCATAAAAGCAGCAGAATAAATTCAATGAAGATCTCAAAATAGATGTTTTATTGAACTGACTAGTCAATTTAATCAAAATAATCTAAATCTGTCACTGCAGATATAGTCCAACTACAGACTTGCAAATATAACAAGAGTGATATAGACATATCAAGAGAACAGGCTGTGATAAGAGCATGACAATTTTTTAAGAAACAAACTCTTGCCAAAGAAAAGCAAAAATGCATGTAAGATGTAACTGTAATCTTTCCTTTAACTCTGAGACAGAAATTAATTTCTACTACTGTTTAAATACCCACTTAAATGTTTTCTGTATTATATATCACTATTCTGTAATATCACAAATGAGATTTTTCAAATCATATTTCTATATCAGCTTATTAATTCTATAATTACTGCATTACAGCAATTATTAATAGTACATTTCATACAACAACTAAGCACCTACGTGCAAGCACTTTCCTAAGTCACTACAAAAAGTATTTAAATACGGCATCTGAGTATTTCTAGTTTAACAACAGCACTAAGGCCTCCAAGGTTAATATATACCTCATTTTTCCAAAGTTTGTACCAAACAGACTTGGAAAATATCACTGCAGACTTTAACTGACATAAAGTCTATTAGTGACAGCATCAGTTTATGAGAGCTTACTATGTGAGGAATAAATGCTTTATCACATTTAGTCCTCATGAGAACTTTGTGAAGCCTCAATTCTCTTTTGAGAAGAAGGTGATAATGGTACGCTT